CTCAAACATGGAGATGCAAGTTTGCAAGGCCCTTTTCCTCTTCTAACAAATGCTTGCCTTTTGAAAGTCTTCTTTCTGTATTAAAAGAATATTCTGTCTCGAATGCAGGCAAACACAGGCAGTATTTGGCTTAAAGGTAAAGGTTCCCCTCATACATCCGTGCTAGCCATTTCTGGCTCTAGGGGGCGCTGCTCATCTCCGTTACAAAGCCGAAGAGCCAGCACTGTCTGAAGACATCTCTGTGGTCATGTGGCTAGCATAACTAAATGCCAAAGACACACGGAGGAACGCTGTTCCCTTCCCACCAAAGGCATCCCTATTTTTCTATTTGCGGTTTTACGTGCTTTCGAACTGCTAGGTTGGCAGAAGCTGGGGACAAGTAATGGGAGCTCACTCTGTTATGTGGCGCTGGGGATTCGAATGGACAAACGGCCAACCTGTCAGATGGCGCTCCGGTCAATATCCAAGAAAGACACTCTTAGTCTCCATGTTAAAGAGAAAAGGAACTTTGACTGGAGATCAAGTAGTAGCATCAAAGGAATTCTAGATTTGAGGATTTATGCACGAAAAACACATATACAAAGTGATGGCAACGTTCCCACCCACCATAGTTCAAACACCCCATCCAATCAAAGTTGTGTATAATGTCATTTGGGGCATCTTCAGGTGGTGATGCAGACATCTGGCCATTGACCTTGGCCTGGTTTGATAAAGAGCTGCAGTTGTGCAGGAAACAAGCAAGTAAAGTTATGCAGTTCATTCTCTAAAACCTCCAGAACACTTCCAACCCCCCCCAAACCCCAATTTTTCCCCCCCCCCCCCCATTACTATGGCAGCCGAAAGAAGCAAGCGAAAGGAAAGGAGTCTCGAAGGCTGACGCGACCTTTCTGATCGACAAGTTCAGCGTCTTGCAACAATTCATTTAGTGATTGTTCAAAGTCACAACATCACTGAAAAAAAGAAGCGACTCAGGACCGTTTTTCACACTTGCGACTGTGGAAGCACCCCCATGTACACTGTGGTCAAAATTCAGACCGTTGCGACTCATATTTATGACCGTCGCAGCTTAACCACCATATTAACTAACTTAACTGCAGTGATTCACGTTAACAGCTGGGACGAAATTCACTTAGCAACTGTCTCACTGAGCAGAGAGAGGGTTTGGACTCAATTGTGGTCATAAGTTAAGGACTCCCTGCTGAGGATCGCTCTTTTTTTTTTAATAAGGATTATCTTGCATCACATGGAATAATCCACCCCTCCTTTGAGTGTTGTCTTTTCTTTATTTTCACAGCCTCCAGCATCTCAAATCTCCCACCTCCCACATGGGCTGCTGGGTAGAAGAATCCCAACTGCTTCCTGGGGAGAAAATGGCAGCCCACCCATCCCCTCGTCCCTGCCACCAGCTTTGTTTCCCCCAAAACAACAGCTGAGCCTTTTCACAACTGAACAATCAACGGGATTCCCTGGGAATTGATCTGTTGGTGGGACCTCTTGTTCAAAGACACAGCAAGCAGGAGCACACAAAATAGTTGGCAACCTGGCTTCTAAAGGAAGATGGTGTGCGTTTTCTTTTTTCAAAGAAATAAATTCTCTGGGCTTATCATATTCTTCCAAACTAAGATTTCTACAATCCTGGGTGGGAAGTTTTGTTTCTACAGTAAGTGGTCCCTGACCTTCGGGGATCAATGGCGCTCACCCATATTTCTGTCCCTCCTACACAGAGAGACAGACAGGCAAGCAGACAGAAAGATAGACAGACAGAAAGAAAGACAGAAAGGCAGTTTCAGGGTTCCAAGTAACACGCCTATAGCAAGCAAAACTCTGAGGCAGGCAACTTCCTCCAAGAGTAGATTGATTGGATATGTTATATTGGCACAGGCTGGTGAAAACCGACTCTGAATATTCCTGCGGTTTTCACCTGATAAGTTTGTCCCTTTCTCAAAACAATTCATCACATGGTCCAATCAGGACGCTGTCCAGTTGCTAGGGGACTCCAGTCCCCTCCTTCTGAGCACCTGCAGGAATGTCCTTGGTTCCCACGACAAAGTGTTTCATTTTGGACTGCAACACCCCAACTATCTCTATTTCCCCCCTTCCTAGCCCGCTTCTCCTGTGTGTCAGCAGTGAAGTCTCAAGATGGCCTCTGTCAGACCAGGTTCAAGGTTGACAGAAGACAGACACACAGATAGACAGACGCATGACACACAGCATCCTTATCTGTGTTTTCTACCTCTTTCTTTGCAGGGAAGTAAAAAGCAGGGGATGAAAAGCACTGATGGAAATCAGTGACAAGAGGGCTTGCTCGCCATCCGGTGGCCTGGTGGTTAGAATGCAGTATTTCAGGCTGCTAATTCTGCCGACTGTCAGCAGTTCGATCCTGACTGGCTCAAGGTTGACTCAGCCTTCCATCCTTCTGAGGTGGGTGAAATGAGGACCCAGATTGTTGGAGAGCAAGAGGCTGACTCTGTAAACCATTTAGAGAGGGCTGTAAAGCACTGTTGAAGCGGGATATAAGCAGGGGTGGGCTTCAAAAATTTTAGCCATGGGTTTTCTGCCTGGTTGCTGAGTGGACGTGACCGTGGTGGGCATGGCCTACCATCGGCCTTCTGAACCATGGTGGCGGGGCGTTTTTGCCCTTCCTGGGCTCCAGGGCTTTTCTCAAGCCTCCGGGAGGGTGAAAACTGCCTCCCTGGTCTGCAAAGGCTGGCTGGAAGCCAGAAACAGGCCCATTTCTGACCTTCCCGAACTTACGGGAGGCCTATTTTTCACCCGCCCTGAGCCTCTGTGCGCGTTCTGCATTATCCTGCATCCAAAACGGGCTATGTGGGGGACTTCTGGGAAGGGAGGGGCATGATGGGTGGGGCCAGCCAGGAATGGGATTTGGGGGTTCTCCAAACTGCACAGAATCTTAGCTAGGGGCTCCCCTGAACCCCCGCGAACCCCCAGCATCCCAGCCCTGATTATAAGTCTAAGCGCTGTTGCTATCTCCTTCCCTGTATCGTCGGTGAATTTAACGTTTGTTAAAGGAATGGCCTTTGGCACAGTTTGACGCCTCGTGAAAATAATAAGGAAAAAAACCACACGCACACATGCAAATCTGGTTTCTTGGTCATTCCAACATTTTATTTTCCAGAATCCTTTTAACGAAGCATTTTTGGTGATCCAATCTGGTGTCAGGCAACTGACAGCAAATGGTTTTGAATCTTTTTCTTTTTTTAAAAAAAAAAACGGAGAAACGTTTCTACCTGCGATTTACAGTCAGAAAATGGAATATCGCAACGTTCCTGCCTCAGATATGGGAAGGGAAGCAGTCAAATCAATGGTTTTAGAAGCAGATCCAGTTTTAACTGGGAAAAGGCAGGAACCAGAATGCGGGTTTTGTTAGAACCAGAATAAATCTAGACTCAGCACTTACGAAGGAGGAACATGCTACAAAGTCATCCTCGACTTACAACCAGAATTTCTGGTGCCAAGCAAGGTTGTTGTTAAGTGAGTTGTGTGTGGGGTTGTTTTTTTTTGCCACGGTTATTAAGTGAACCAGCCAGTCATTAAGCAAATCTGGTTTTCACCATTGTCTCGACTTGTCAGAAACCAGCTAGAAAGTTTGCAAATAGAGATCGCACGGCCCCGATTACATGACCAGGACACACAACCGTGCGGATGCTGCCACAGTCATAAGTGCGAGGACCCATTGTAAGTCACTTTTTTTTAGGGCCATTGTAACTTTGAATGGCTACGAATCCAATGGTTGTAAGTGGAGGGTTACGGTATTGTTACACGCCATTATTCCATTTCTCCGATATTCAGACACGGGGAGATTTAAAAAAGAAACCTTTAAAATATTTCCACTTTGGGTGGCCAGATAACCTTGAAAATGTATTTCTCAACGAAGTCAGAATTATTTTGGCACAGCTGCTCTTCTTTCCCACCTTCCCTCCCCCCTCTCTTTTTCTCTAATTATCCCTGAAACATTACAAAACACTTTCCTTTTTCATTTCTTGCCGGAAAAGGATCGTTTAAAAAAAGAAGAAGAAAAAGAAAAACATTTTGTGGGATTTTTTTTTTCCTTTTTGCAATAAAAAAAGGTAAGCTTTGCAGGAACTTTAACTGCTGCCCTGGGCTGACCTTCCAAGGGTTCGCTTTCTAGCAGGCTAATCCACCACGCTTAAGCAAAATAATAACAAACGGCCCAGAGAAAACTCAACATTGCAAATGTCTTTGAGCTTTCAGAAAGGAGAGGATGACAATCTTAAGAATCGTGATCTTCCTTGCATTTCAATTATGCAAATAGATATTCCAGTGCAAGGTTTGGTGTGCAGTTTACTTACAAATAAGGCCAGCGGAGCTCCTAGGTCAGGATCTAACTGGGTAGTCCTAATGTTGTCTTTGATCGTTTTGTTCACACAAGCCAAGAAGTGATAGTGTGCTTGCCTTTTGAAAATGGCTTCGTTCATTGCTAAGACAGTTGCTTTTGACAGTCGAGATTAAATTGGCAATGGAAGGATCCTGTCTCTACCCTTGTCAGACTTCTTTTTGGAAGGAATTGAACAGAAATTGAACAATCCTGCCACCTTTCCTTTTCTTTTTCCCTTGCTTGGAGGGACCTGCAAGAGGCTGGTTTTATTTTTGTTTGTTTTTTTCTACAGCAGAGTCCAACCCAAAAAGCTCAAGAAGGAAGGAAGAGAGAAAGAGAGAAAAGAAGAGAGGAAGAGGAAGAAGAAAAGACAAAGAGAGGAAGGAAGAGAGAAATGAAAAGAGAAAGACAAAGAGAAAGAGAGTGAGTAAGTGAAGGAAGGAAGGAAAGAAGAAAGGAAGGAAGGAAGGAAGGAAGGAAGGAAGGAAGGAAGGAAGGAAGGAAGGAAGGAGGGAGGGAGGGAGGGAGGAAAGGAAGGAAGGAAGGAAGGAAGGAAGGAAGGAAGGAAGGAAGGAAGGAAGGAGAGAGGGAGGGAGGGAGCGAGGAGGGAAGGAGGGAAGGAAGGAAGGAGATATTCCTTCAAGTCATTTTAAACAGTTCCCTCTCACTCTGACAGATCAAAGGGTGCTGATGTGGGTTTGTGTTCATTGCAGAAACACAAACTGGAATGGACAACAAACCTTGCCATGAACAAACAAACAAACAAAAAAGAAGTAATCTAGAATAGCATACACTTCTCCACCCTGTCCCCTTCTTAAAAAGTTTATCCTTGGAAGAAATTCTTGATGCACCCAACCATCTCCAGCTCTTCTAAGTTTGGAGACAGTTAAGATCCTGTCAATCTTGTAGATGTTGAAGTTTAGATACCAATTTCGGGACCAATCTGGTTCCCCTGGCAACGCTAAGACATTCTTTCCATCGGGAACTTTGCACAGGCTTCCAATCATCCTTGGTCTGATTCTTAGCGTCCAACGCGAAAGAAACCAGAGGGAAGATGCACCCACATGCACACACTTTTAAAAACAATTCCCCTCAAATGTAAACTGAACCGCTGAACCAAAGCACATCAGCCAGCATCATCAGTGGAGGAGAAGAGCAGAGCTATGACATTTAATCAATCTTCTATGGATTTTTCCCCCTCCTCTTTTTCTTCTGCAATTTGAACAACCAGCAGGAGGAGGAGAAATTGGGGTGATGGGCAATTCACGGAGCCTTTTAGCTACAGGTCCACCACCATCACCTGACAAGCGGCCAGAGGGAAGCCATTAATTTTTAGTGCACTTCTTTGATTCTTTGATTCCAAAACACCTGGAGGCAGGATGAGAGGCAATGGATGGAAACTTGAACAAAGAGAGAAGCAACCTGGAATGAAGAAGAGACTTCCTGACAGTGAGAACAATCAACCAGTGGAACAACTGGCCTTCAGAAGTTATGGGTGCTGCATCACTGGAGGGTTTTTAAAAAGGGATTGGACAACCATTTGTCAAAAATAGCATAGGGTGTCTTGCTTGAGCAGAAGATTGGATTAGAAGACCTCCAAGATCCCTTCCAATTCTGTTATTCTGTTATTCTGATTGCTAGGTTCAAGCAGATGGCCTTGGAACGGTGTCGGCCAACCAAGTCTCCATTAATTGTCAACAACAGTTGGACCTGCAGCTAGAAGTGGGCTGCTCAAGTCACAGTTTTAAGCAGCAGCTTGTTTGCTTAAACCCAACATATCTTGGGAACACGCTGAGTAAACACTGGCAAGGCATTAGTAAGAGCAAAGCAGTTACACGAGGAAAGGGGGATTCATTAGTCAACCAACATCTATTTGGAGTGAACTTACTTCTCAAGGGCTGCAAAGCATGGATCGAAACGAGCAGGGTGGGACTCATTTCTACCCAGAATGAGACGTACACCCTTTCCTTTAGAGCATCCACCCACCCCAACGCCACTTAAAAAAAAAAGAAAGAAAGAAAGAATTAGGACGCTTTGATTAATACAATAGCGGGAATGTCCATGGACATTCTAGTTAGTTGTCTTCCTCTTCTGCCACCATCTTTTTTCAGGGGGCTTCATTGGAAGTGACACCGTTGCCCTTGTTGACGTAGAAGGGGCGGTAATGAGACTGGATGGAGAAAGCAGAGAAAAACAGCAGTGAGTGGGATGGTCTTCATTGAGCTCCATCAACTGATCTTTGGCCTGTCTGCCTGCCTGCCTGCCTGCCTGCCTGCTGGTGGACTAGAATGGTAGAGACTCTGTGCAAAATGTGAAAGCATTAAAAGTACAGTGCTGTAGTTGGAGCAATTTTGTGGTAAGAACAAACTGACATCGTATCTTGTTTTTGAATGGCCTGGCCTTCACCATTGGCGACCCCAATTTTGTTCCTCTACTGCTTGAATAATATTAGCTAAACACATTTCTTCTGTCAAACCAAGAAAGCCATTTTACTCTTTTCATGTAAAAATTATTATTTTTTGCCTATTATCTCTTGTTCTCTCTCTCTCTCTCTCTCTCTCTCTCTCTCTCTATCTATCTATCTATCTATCTATCTATCTATCTCTTATCTATCTATCTCTCTATCTATCTATCTATCATCTTTATCTATCCATCATCTATCATCTA